GAATAATCAAGAGGATCAATTATTTGGTTTATCGAGTTCAGCGCAACACCAGGAGTAAGATGAAAGTTGTACATCTAGACAGATTGACGAAATATCATGGTCTTTAAGTTAATCGGGACGATCAATCTTAAGAGGAAAGTAGTGTAACGGAATTTACGTGCGCCTCCGCCAGAAGATACAGAATCGGATAGCAGAATTCTAGACTTTTACAGTGCTCTTCGGGAAAAAGGTCTATCGCGTTTATTCTGGATTTTGCAAAAATAGATTATGGATATATAAAGGCCGGTATTAGTTAGTAGTTTTTAAGTTGTTTGAGTTAATTAGTGAAGAAATTAGTGTCAGAGTGCGTAGTAACGTGGAATTAATCATTGTTGTCTTAATTGGACTTTGATTTTGGGATAAACGAACCCAAGATTTATGTCACGCACCCCAGAGCCGTAACAATATGAAATAAGCAGCACCATAAAATATCACCTTGAATAGGTACTTAGTCGGGATAATGATAATTATTTCTGCTCAAATTTCGAGGACCTTTTCATGATTTTCAATAATAGTGTGAGCTCCATAGACACAATATCTCAAAAATCCAAATTCGATTTTACCACAAGAAGTGTGATTCAAAATCTTTGAATTTCTCAAAAATCAAAAGGGTAAATTAGAAAAAAGGTTCGCAATCACTTCACATCCAAATTTTATAATCATCTATGATTGTTTTTGGCTTCCTATGAATATCTTATGATTTGTCGAGGAACGCCAGAGCTCACCCTTAACGTGGAAAGATGACCACCCACACTGAAAAAAAAAATTATTCAGGGCAAAAAAAAATGGAGTTCAATTAAACAAATATTTGTTCGGTATGCGACAAACAACTCATGTTTTTGAGAGAAATATATGAATTATTTGAGATACCCACCTAGTATTTGTTTAATCAAAACAGATATTTATTTCACTTATTACTTCCATGTGTTTGGCCCAAAGGTAGCTTCTAGGAACAAATAAATATTTTTTTATATTAAATATATGATTTGTTCAATCGAAATAAATATAATGGCAAAATATAATAATTTTCTTTAAATAAGTGATTTATTTGTTACAAATAAATATTTGATTGTTTAAAATAATGCATTTATTTGTCCAAAATGCATTTCAATTATTTGGGGGAAATAAATATTTGACCATACCTATACACCAGGGAGTTGTAGAAAGTGTTACTTATAGTTGATCTACTTCTACACTGAAAAAATTAGTGAAAAATTTGCCTAATAAATATTTATTTGATTTTTTTTTATTTCACTCAAATAATTATTAGTTAAACCAACGACAATGTATTTGGTTTAAATAAATCTGCGTATTTGGTTTTTTCAAATTATTTGTTTGACTTCGTAAAATGATACGAGTTGCATTATTAAATAAATATATATTTGGAACGAACGCCATAAATCTAATATATTCAGAACGAAATAACAGCTCCTTTAAATTAAATATTCTGGAATTTTTACAAAATAAACATGACCAAAATTCAAATAACTGGGATCTTTGTAGACATTTGGCAATTTACGCGCATGCTCGAGTTCCGAATACTGTGCTGTGTGGATCACTGCTCGCTCTTTCCTGTTGTTGGTTTGGCACGCGTCGCATGGTCTTACTTTGAATTTTTATTTTTCGGATTGGTTTCCGCAAGATGGAAGATCTTTTGGCAGAAGTGTGTGTGTGCAATATCTGTGGCCTTTAATACACAGTAAGTTGAAATTATAATACATACCTACATAATAGTTATCATTCACAATATTTCCAAATCATGCAAAAAATTTCAGTAAAATGGTGTCTCCAGGAACAAAAAAATACGTCGCCTTGGCCGATATAATTTTTATTGGGGACTTATTTCTACCTGGACCAGACAAACATCCTCTCACACTGAGGCAACAAGCAATAGGCAATTCGCAATAATATTGGACGCAAGTATTTTACATTTATTTAAAGTAGAGGTCTCACATTAGAGCAACCAGCAATATTTTCCGTTCGACAGATATCGAGTTGCTCCAATGTAAGACCTCGGATTTAATTCAATGTACGATACTTGCCACCACAAAAACTGTGCATCAGACGAACCACCTGCAAACATTTTCAGAAGTGCCATCGAAGTGAATCAGATTCCAAACATTGATGATGGGACAGGAAAAGAGAATAACGATGAACGACTGAATGAGAACGACCCTCCTGTGCAGCTTCACAATAATTTATTGATTTAACTAGAATAAAAACATAATTAGATGGAACAAATCAAGCTTTAAATGGAACAATTTGTTTATTTGGTTCAAAATAAAAGAAGTTGAAACAAATACTTCTTTTATTTACAATAAATAAATATTTATTTAATTTAAATATTTGCTCTGAGCTAACTAATGCATGATTTATTTACTAGAACTAAATATTTATTTATTTTGTCAAAATGATTGATATTGAGCTAAACTAAGAATAATTTAATTCAAGCAAACGGAATGGAAACGGTCAAACAAATTCAGATTTTTTTTTAAACAAATACATATTTGTTTGTCCATTATCAACCAAATATTTATTTAAGGGAACTCCATTTTTCTTTGGACCAAATTATTTTTTTTTTCAGTGTATATTAATTGAAAAATTTATTTAAGTTTTGCGTATATGTTCATATGCACATATACATACAATATGTTGTCTCAAATATCGGCTGCTAGTGATAGCAAAATCTTAAATAAATATTTCAGTTATATATAAAAGTTTAAAAACTATCAAACACGTTCTGTAAATCACCCTGCTGTATAGTGAAGCTTCTTTCTATATATACCGCACAAATAATAAAATCACAAGATAAATACTGCGTGCACAAGCAAACATAAATAAGGTGTCAAATCATAAGAAAAAAAAAAATTTAATAGTATATTAAAGTATAAGTGCATATTAAGGTCTTTAAAACACGCGCGATTTTTCGAGCACGACGGCGCAGCCGGAGTGCTCGAAATATAGCAAGTGTTTTAAAGACCAGTTATCCACGAATACTGTACACTATTTTTTTTTTATTGGTACCTATACGTTCAAATCATAAATTACTAATAGTTGTAGAATGCTAAATTCGTGATATGACATCTGGTATACCTTTCGTTTTCTGACAGATCAATAATTAAAAAGTTGACATTTAGACTTTACTTTTCTCAGGTTGTTGATGTTGTCCTGGTAACTTTTTTAAAACACGCGCGTTTTTGAATGTTGGATTTAAACACGCTTAGGAGTACTTTAAATAAGAAAAATAGGTTATCAATAAAAAAAATATCTTTATTTATAAAAATGTAAGGCTTTTTTAAATCTTAAAATATGAACTGTAATCGAGATTGTAATGATATAAAATATAAAGAACTGTTTGATTGTCAGATCCGTCGCGCTCAGAGTATGACCCTTGATTTGTAACATCCATGTAAACAAATCATTGAAGTTTCTCTCTATATGAACAAGATGTCAACACATTCCAAAGAATAGAGTTGTTCAAAATCATAGCTGATCTGGAAAAAAAAAAACACAAATCATACATAATCTTTTTTAAACTAAACGCAGATTTTTAACATGTATCAAAAGAATTACCATATACCTACCGTGTCACAGACGTTCAGTAGCAATTTTAGTTTATTACTAATAATATATTGTTATATGTTAAACATTTAGTTATTTGTCCTAGTTAATTTGTCATATGACATAAACACCTGTGAATTTGTCTGAAACGTTTATTTATTTGAACCAAATAAATATTTAAGAGTCTTGTTCTTCTCTCAAAAAGGACAAAGCTATACGAAGAAGCCATTTTTAATACATTATTAAATTTGAATAAATTCTTCAACCTCAATTATTTACACGATCGTTACTCATACAGATTTTAAGACCCATACATTTTACTATTGTATGGATCCTAAATGTAGGTATATTAATCATGAAATAAACACTCCCGCTCTCGCATCATATACCTATACACAGTTTATATATTTCTATAGTATATGAGCATTTCAAAAATTGGTTTGTAACATTCAGGCACTTACCTTCAAAAATGGGCAATAGTGGCGCAGTTTCCACTCATCTAGTAGCTTTTTAACCGACATTATCAAACCGGAGCGATGCACACACACACTGACCCGAATAACATTTTTTTTTACTGTTCCAAATCGGCACGCATTTTGGCACTGACTGCTGGGCTTCACTTCACGCACGACAACCGTATACGCATCCCCTTTACCACCCCAGTGACATCATGGCTATATGAGCTTGTTTCAAATAACGGGGGACTTGTTTCAAATAACGGGGGACTTGTTTTAAATAACCAAATTTCAAATTTTATCGGTTTTTTGAATCAAATAAATGTGCCTTTCTGCTAAAGCAGCCAACGCCAACTAAATATTTTGAAAAAATCAAATAACCTTGTTTGTTCCAGACAAACGCTATTTATTCGAGTGAAATACATTTTGTTTGAATTAAACAAACAAAAGTCAAATAAATATTTATTAGGGTAACTTTTCAAGAATTTTTTCTGTGCACTCTCACTGTTTGTACTCAACCTGACCAAGAGTGTTCGACTCACTCAACAAACTACACACGAAACTCTGTTGGAATCAATTTTCCTAGAAGAATTTGACGATCAACTCATCAACTCGATCACACGCCTTACTAAAATCAGTACCTAGGTATAGTATCTACTGAAATCTGACTTTTACATAACCAGAACAGCTATAACCAGACTATCAAAAGCTTCCTTATTGCAGATTGAATGCATCACCATGATAATTTTCAGTGTCATATTTCCAAACTTTTTCAAATAAAGTCACAACGAAACTCTTGCAAGCATCAGGAAACATGGATTACTTACTGTGCAGAGCTATCAATATATTTTTTTGTAAACCAACTTTTAAATTTGTGGCCCATAATGAATTACTAATTATGGCCTATTATTAAACATTTAATATAATATTGTTATTTTATTTTAGGTGATTTTCATTACTGAGTACATGTCGTCTGGGTCTCTAAAACAGTTCCTGAAACGTACCAAGCGGAACGTGAAAAGACTGCCTCTACGTGCTTGGAGAAGATGGTGCACGCAAATTCTCTCAGCATTAAGGTAATTTAAAATCCAGGCAATAGAAACAAACACATTTTGGCCCGATTATTTACCACCAAAAATTTTTTTTAGATTTTAAGGTTTAATCTTAAGGTTTTATAAGTGTATACGCTCTAGATTTAAGCAAGGTTGGCATAATATATATCAATCAATATCATGATATTTATACGAAATTAAAAATAAATATTCTAGGTTGAAAGTTGTTAAGAAATCAAAAATCTGGTAACACTGGTAACAAAACGCACGATGAACATCGAATCCAAAGGCAGTTTGTTGTTTCGTGTTTTGTTTGGGTGGGTTTTCAAAGTGTTAACACTTCAGTCGATAGTTTATAATTAAATGCAATTACCAAATCTAGACTAAGTATTTGGAGGCGTTTTGAGAAGATTGAAACACTTTTCGATTTTTTTTAGCTACAGACAATATAAATAAGTTAATTTGAAAAACAAATCAGAACTTGATATATAATAAATATATCCGATATTTTGATATTTGCTAACCTTGGATTTAAGGGTTTATTTTAAATAAATAAGTAGTATCGTCCACAATAAGCTAAGATCTTGTTGTAAGTATTATCAAAGCCTTATTGTGGTCGAAGTTTTGTACATTTCTCTTGCCCTGTGATTTATAGCTCTTTTTAAAGGTAAGTAGAATTGTACTGTAGATGGCAATCAACCTAAATTTCTCCCACAACTTTAATAATGGGTGATGATAGTTTTGTTGGGTCTGGGCGAACCGAACATTTTTAATTCGTTTCCGATAGTCATGACGAGAAATATATAGATATTCTATGGATGTTGCCAAGGATCTGAAAGAGAACCGATACTGCTATAATATTATTTTTGGTGAGCTTACAATGAATATCTGTCACGAATAAGGCCTTTCGAAGGTATGGACATAACGAGTCTACTTGAGACAAATGAATCCAAAATTAAAAAGAATAATGGTTGGTTCGCCTTTTCTTAGATAGATTCAAAATTAGTTTTCAGCAATGAGTCTCGGCACGGGCGAACAACTTTAACGAGTCATTCTATGAATCCAGTCTGTTTTCTTTACAGTTACTTGCATTCCTGTTCACCGCCCATCATCCATGGCAATCTGACCTGTGATACCATATTTATACAACACAACGGGCTCGTCAAGATCGGATCAGGTAATCACATATACAAAAAAAAAACAACCTTAACCTCACCGAATAAAATTTATACATTTATATCGCTGAGAAAATTATTGTTCTTGATGTGACAATTTTGTAATGATTTCATTTGGTCAGTAATATCTTTTTTAGAGGATTCACCTAGCTGTATAAGGGACGTATTGGGTGCTGCAAATTGTTACGCGCAAGTCTGACTTTGGGGAGGTCAATTCGTATTTACCCCAAGACATTTCAAAATTTAATTTATGTTTACTTGTGTATAGTATTTACTTAGTGCATATTAGCCAATATTCAATATTTTTAGACCAAGAGCCAACTGGCTTTCCTGGCTTTTTTTGTAATTGACTCTTTGTCTAAAGTAATTTCGTGTTACAAGAAATTTTATTGCTAAATCATAATTCAATTTTGGCTGTTCATACTATATTATGCATTTTAAGATTATAAAACAAACACAAAATTTTACTTTGTCTCCAATACTAGACTCGGTGTTTAAACTTATTGACCTCAATTTTTTCAGACCTGGGCATATAGAGGGTTTGTCTTGTCAAGGGGTCGCTAAATTTTTTAATCATGGTTGGGCGTGTCACGTATGTAAGTACGGTTAGGTTTTTACAAACGTTAACTACGCTTGACAATGATGGTTTATTGTAAAGCGGCTCCTTCCGTCTCGAGCCCTAATCATTTTCCATGCAGTTTTCTAATTTAAGTTCTCCTAAATCTGCCTAAATCTATTGTTTTTGTATACATTTACATTTTTTATCAAAATTAATTTAAAAAAAATATGTTATTATTGTGGAAAATGGTTCGACAATCTGTATGCTCACAATACTCCCTTTACAGCCATTCATGTCACGTCAATGCCCTAAAAGTACTAACTTTAATTTCTGTTTCCCTTTAGTGGCTCCCGATTCCATAAATCATCACGTGAAGACGTGCCATGACGACTTCAAAAATATGCATTTCATCGCTCCAGAACATCCTGGTGAGTTTTTTTTTAAAGAAACCCAAAGGTCTTTCACAATGCCTTTTTCATTCCATTATTGTTAATAAATATTTTTTCATAATTTCAGGTTTACAGCAACAGTAACAGCATCCGAATTGGTTTCCAGTTGCTCTTCATAAAATCATATTTTCACTTTTCTTTATACTTTGTGAAAAGTAATATAAAATCTGTACGTTTACTAAGAACAGAAACAATCTTTAACAACATTTTATTAATTCTACCCAAGCTCTCGTCTTGTTTCACAGAAAAATATTCTAATTATTGTTCAGCCACACAACAAATAATTCCTTATAAGCCAAATTTTCTGTCTTACCATCATCTGTACAATTTTAAATCAATTCTGTAAAGCTAACTCTTTAATTCAGTTGAAGTTCTATGTACTTACTGCTTTTGAACAGTGCTTAAATAGTTTTTAAAAATTTATAGATTAGGCCAGCCTCTAGCAAGTGCTGCAAAATAGGTCAAAGGGGAAACACATAATAGTTATGCATGTCAGTACGCCAAGCAGTGTCTTTTTGTGCTGAGCCCAATGTATGGAGCTTAACTCAAACTGCCTGGCAATCGCAATAAACGTAATACTCAAAACAATCGTAAAATAGATTCATGGTGAAAAATCAAAATAACTTATTTTATTAATTCTGCCCCTTAAGATGCGTTGAGCGCACTAAGTACACTCATCAAAATAGTCTAGGGAACAAGAAATATCTGTCTTTCAATTTAAGGAAAGAACAACTTTTTAAAAAAGATAAAGTGAGTATTATTTATTGAACAAATCTTGTCAAATTTACCATGACGGCTATTTTTTGCAAACTTATTTAGTTTAAATGTTTTAAAAATAAAATCAGCAAAAATTTCTGATAAGTATAGGAATTATCTTGTTCCCTAGACTATTTTGATGTGTGTACTTTAAACTCCCATACCTCTACATGTGATGACCCAGTTATATTTTGACACTGCTTGCACTAAAATGTCCTTCGCCTTTAGCTCAAATAACACACCACACCGCGTCTTGCAACGAATCGCGTAAGCGCGGCCAGACTTCTCTTGTTAAATGTGATACCTACTAGGTCCTGACGAATTAACGGGAGACAAAACATTCGAACACGCGAATAGGAGCCCTAGTGACCATACTGCCACGATGTTTTCTGTCTTTGATTAAGAATGGGCGGCGAGTCGACGTCTGAGTGGTGTAGGTATTTACGCGTTTTCTTGGAACCAGGGCCATAATGGGACTGATTCTGTGCAGTTCTAAAACAACGAACAGGACGTGAAAAGTTTATTGCGACAAATTCCTGGTATTCGATCTGAACAAACTGATTGTGATCACATGAGGTTTGTTCATGAGGCGTCAAAAAACAGCTGGGGCCAATGAAATCGTTTCAAAACCGGATGAAAATTGTTTGAAACAAACCTCAAGTGACTTCGATCAGCTTGTTCAGTTCGAAAGAATACATGAATGAGGCCAAAATTGATTTTCGATGACAGCAACAGCTGAGGTCCAAAAGCCAAATTTGTTCACGATTGAATAACAAAACAGTATAAGGATGTTTGCAACATAATCAAAATTTGAGTTATCAACCTCCTACTAACGTATTAGTTTGCTTTTCCTATCAATTTCGTTGTCAGCGAGAAGATGCTCAGTTTCGTTGGAAAAGCTTTGTCGCTGTGTTAACTTTTGTAAATAAACAAAGGCTTTGATTTTGTGAATACCTAGAGCTTCGAAGTTCCTATTGGGTAACGGTTTTAAGAGGTTCTTGATAAAGCGCTGCCAATATCCAGCTTTGAAAGATCCGAAAATCGATAAGCTTTGGCATTTTTCAAGGAGATAACGCTCATGCGTAATTCGGGTAGCTCTCGAGGTGGTTCGCCGCTTTGTAACCAAAATTCTTTGTTAGATTTTAGCCAATGTGAAGCTTGCCAAAGACAACAATAAAACCGGAGAAATCCTGCGCGACACATGACGAACGATATTGTCTACGCGGGAATATATCGCCAAGAAGCAACATCTGTTGTTTTATGGTTGAAACACAGCTTGTTGAAGCACTAGAAAAAAACCATTCAATGTTGAACTAGAACTGATAATCCATCTACTAGATGGAGTACTGTGGAACCAGAGTATAAACAGGGCAAACAAAACTAGAATATACAACACCTATTCAAGATTTCCAAAGATTACTCGCGATTACTCCAGATTACTCAAGATTACTAAGATTGCTTGAGCCTTACTTGAGATTACATACGATAAAAATAGAAAAGGGACTCGTTACTTCTAATTGAATTCAAACCAAATTTACTACAAGAATGCAAAACAATGGAATAAACTCACTCATTTACTGGAAATTCCTTTGATTCCATGCACATTTTATTCGTCGATAGACAAAAATGTTGTATCTTGATGCTGCATTTTAATGGATTGTCATATCGATATTGCTGGTCGACTGTATTAGGTCAAATAACACACCACACGTTTCAACTGAATTATTGGGTCATATTAAATCACTCCAGTATAACAGAAAACTAAAAAAAGTCAGTTTTTCATAAGAAGCGATAACAAAAAAAAATGTTTTTTTTTTATTTTTATTCACGTTCGATCACGCCTACACTTCGATCTCGCTGTTTTCTATGTCGTCGAAGTTTCTGCTCCTGCTGGAGCGCTTTCATAAATACATGCTCTAGGTTATCTCAATGTGTTCAATATGTACCAAGGTAAAATTAAAGTCGTCATACGTGAGCGTTCATACCATTCGGCTACTGCACCTGGCGTTCTGAAATCGCTGCACAAAGGAGTATGATAGAAATCACCCGACATACGCAATCGAGAATCACTATTTTAAATGAGTGAAGAAGCGCAAAGCCTCATTTTTGGTAGTTAATGAATCTTAACATTGTATTATCACTGTTATCCAGAGATAATATAATATTTTTCCCAATACCATTTGAACAAAATTCAATTATACAATTAAAACTGAAACATGACACATTTGTGGGTCACACCAGGTTAAATCTGTGCCGTCATGCATATCACACTACCCGTTACATTGCCTTTACCTTACCAGCCCCAACCAATATTCGTGAACGCACCTTTTGTCAAGCTTGAGCTCGAAAATGGACGGTACCATTTTAAAATTATGAAGGGGCGAGCGGTTCTTGTTCTTGTTACATCATAAGTAGGCGAATAACAGTACGTTTGCCACTCGTATTCAAGATAGTTAAGCGCCAACAATCCCGTCATCTAAGAACTACACTTCCTTGTGGTCTAAATTTATACATATATGAGGTTGAATGACACATTACTCATTATTTTCGCTAATATAACTATTCTTTATCTATGACGTTTTGCCTTTGGGAATGAAAAACCAAAACGCTATAGACTAATAAGACTGTTAAAATAGGGAGGTTCCGGAATAAAGAACATGATTGTATCATAGAGAGTTAGCTTTACAAATTTGTTTGTCTATGTCTTTATAGGAAGAATATAATGTATATGCGCAAACTGGTTTTTTCATAATAACATACATTTAATGTCTTGACAGTAATTTATAAGTATTTGTCAATCACAAATAAATAATTAAATCTTTCTACCCTAGCCATAAGTCCGGCCATAGATATCTATGCGTTCGGAATGTGTGCCTTAGAGATGGCCGCTTTGGAGATCATCGGGAACGGCGAATCTGGCAAGAAAGTGACTGAGGAGAATATCCAGCAAACCATCGACCTACTGGAGGATGAACGCCAGAGGGACTTTATACAAAAGTGCTTGCGGAAAGATCCTGAAGAGAGGTGTACTGCCAGGCAGTTGCTGTTCCATCCTTTATTGTTTGAGGTCCATAGTCTCAAGTTGCTGGCGGCCCATGTACTAGTTAGGAATTCAGGTAAATTATGTGAGTTATCATTTTCATCATATTATATGTTCTAAGCCCAATGCACTATATTTTAAGTTTCATTGTGAACTAATACTGGGGGATTTGGCTTTGGAAAGATGCGAAAAAATACTTTCTTATTGAAACAGTATCTCAGTCACCATAATGTCAATATTGCAACTATTAGTCTTGATAGCTGGGTGCACACATTTTAATATGACTGAATGTAGTTTTGATTTTTCATTCAGTGATCTTTGGAAGTAGTGGCGAATCTAGGTGGGGGAGCATGCCAAACCAGAATGGCGTCGAAAAATAGGGGTAAAAAATCAAAATTGATGAATCCTTAAACTGAAAACCGGGATTCTGTATGAAAATTTGAACTTTTTCAGTTTATCAGGTCACAAAAGTACTATTGGTACACTTCCCTAGAGCTTTTGGAAGTTGCAAAAAATTATTGTGGTTCTGAGAGTTTTAGAATTTAACTTGCTGAGTAGATCACCTTATGGGGCAACATATTGCAAACTTGGAAATGTGAAATTGACAAAATGGGAAAATCATAAGAATTCTAATGATAATTCAGGAGAATATGGTGTAACAGTCACAAAAAAGCTGGTATAGTTCTTTTTATATTTGTTATGCATGAAAATTCAGTTTTCACTAAAAAGGAGTGCAGATGTTGGTCACCTTTCAATCCGTCAATCTAAATGTCACCCTGTCCGTGTGATCCATACAACATCTATTATCTGATGGGTTTAAAAAAAAAACGTAAATCATGATTTTTTGAAGGCACATTTCAACCTTCCCAAAGAAAGCTTGCCGCATTACGGAAATAACAGTTTCAGAAAAAAAAATGATGGGAACTTTCTCGATTTGTTCCATATATACCGTTTCATCCCTTGATTCAATCATTCCTCGAGCCTTGCTTCCACATAATATCGCCAACTTCTCCAACTTGTGATCTCATTGAATAATTCCCACATCCTCATTCTTAGGGTGGGTATTGTAAAACTATTTTAACAGAATAACTTCTGGAATGAATATACTTCTCATAGTAATTCCAGAAGTTAAATTTTAGTTATCTGTCAAAATAGTTTTATAATACCCGCCCTTAGTCTGCCAGGACTCTCACACCATGGGGTCAACTACTCAGCAATAAGTAGAGGCTGTAGGGTCAAAAAAATGATTATCACAAAAAAATTGTTTTGTGTAACATACGTAACACATTAGAACTATATTTTCATTCATAACGTTTTCAAAATTGTATCAAATATATTGACTTTATGTCTTCAGTTTGATTTGGCACCAGTCTATACTCCCTACTACTTCTGAAATTCACTGTATGAGACTTTGAGACTATAAGGAGTCACATTAAAATGTACGTAGCCAGTCCTTCCGCTAAATGTATACTTACTGTGCATGATAAAAAGACACTCTTCAGTTTGGCAGGTCAATATACATGAATTAAGAGAAAAGTTTGAATAATATTATAAACTTCAGTTGATAGAGATTAATTATTTTGTGCTTCTGGGTTTTTCGCTTACAGGTTAATAAAATAGAAAAAAATGCTTTCTCTGTTAGCAAGTACAACAACAGAGAAACTGTACAAAAATTCACCTGCCAAATTACAAGTTTTTTTTTAAAAAACTTTTTAGCATTTTGTAGAAAGTGCTGTTTACATTAATCTATATCATCATATATGTATTTCTATGCACGACAAAATAAAATATTTTTTGATGGGTCTCCTTTCTTATCTCCAGAAAAATAATAACAATATTGGTTTTATAAACATTGAACCTCTGTTCGCCGTACATTCGCCATATTATCGAGATTGAGTTTTGGTAACTTGAACGGATTAAGCCGATACTTGGTATACCTAAATTTACATCTTTTATTGGAAAGATGTCGAATTATTCTTTCATTGATGGGTTTATTTTTTACGAAAGCGTAGAAGGGCCAACTTGAACTTATTTTTTCTTGTTTCAAATTCCTACTTATAAGTCGGAATTTCGACTTACATCTCCGAATTCTCACTTATAAGTTGGAATTCCGACTTACATCTCGAAATAACGCCATGCCGACATATTGGTCGGAATATTAGATAGGCATACCGTCATCGGCGTCATCATTTCATTTGATTGACCCACGTCGTAGGAATGGAGAACTATCGATGGTCTAGACTTTCAATATTTACCGATAGTGACAGTTGGCCTATCGATTATTATCGATAGTTTTGAAGCAGTTACTTCAAATCACACAGATGAAGCTGGAATGCATAGATATTTCTGGGTGCACTCATCAAGGGGATGTAAGTCTCTGCCATTCACCTATAAAAAATAAAATTTAAATAATTGTGAACTTACTATTGCATAAATAGTTCTTACCTTCCAAAAAAGAAGAGGATCTGTATGTCGAGGTGCATTTGGTCGCTCCATGTATTGACGTTTTCTAATTATTTCATCTGCTGTAGTCGATTTGACTTTCTGGTGGTTTCTATCTTTCATAAAAGAAAATAATGATGAACTGCTTCCAATTTCTTGGCTCGAGCCTTCACCGTGGCTGTTCATTATCAAACCTTCTGTTGTGCCTGCCGATGAAGATGATTCATTTTGCTTTTTTAGTAAGACAATCATTTCCTGTTCCAAAAATTGAACGGCAGCTTTAGCAGTTTCAGAATTTCGGAAACCTTCTTGCTTGAATCTCGGATCTATTAATTTAGGTCTAGAAAATTAGCACAACGAAAATGGCACACATCAGAAAAACTAGATTACTAAATTCGGGCCTATTAAGTGCTAATTTGGTACGAAAAAAAATAATTTATAATTCTATTTTTTTTAAAATTACGTGCATGTCTGCCAGCTTAAGATTAAGCTGGCACACTCTAGTTGGATAAGGTCGAATCTTTGAAAATTTAGAACCTCATATTTAGTGCTAATTTCGTACATTCATGGCACGCCTAAAAAACTAACAATGATGTATTTATTACGAAATAACCACGGAAAAGTGCTAAATTAAGACTTGAATTAGCACACATACATCGATTCGACCGCGCGAGAACGGAATTCGCATGCACATAGGTATTTAGTGCTTCAAAAACGACAACCTAAAACGAACTAGTATCACATCAGCACAGAGCTAACCCAAAATAACCCAAAATAACCCGAACTAACCGAAACTAACCCGAACATACCCAAACTAACGTCCAAAATTAGCACTAAATGTGTGCTAATTTAGTACTCCAGTTTCATCGCGTCATCGTTGATAATGTTTGTTAACTTAAACACTAAGCCAGCACACAAGTGCTAACTCTGTGCTGATGTGATACTAATTCGTTTCGGGTCGTCGTTTCTGAAGTACTAAATTAGCACTAAATATGCGCATGCGAATTCCGTTCTCGCGCGGTCGATTCGATGTATGTGTGCTAATTCAAGTCTTAAGTTAGCACTTTTCCTGGGTTATTTCGTAATAAATACATCATTGTTAGTTTTTTAGGCGTGCCATGAATGTACCAAATTAGCACTAAATATGAGGTACTAGATTTTCAAAGATTCGACCTTATCCAACTAGAGTGTGCCAGCTTAATCTTAACCTGGCACACATGCACGTAATTTTTTAAAAAATAGAGTTATAAATTATTTTTTTTCGTACTAAATTAGCACTAAATAGGCCCGAATTTAGTACTCTAGTTTTTCTGATGTGTGCTATTTTCGTTGTGCTAATTTAAGGAACCATATTAATTTGCCCCTCCAAAGAGGAATAGCCTCACTTTAACATATTTTAATAATCCATCACACAGTTGTTTTCCTTCATCCGTCGTCAACTCGGACTTTATTTTGACCATCAAATTATTAAAACTGCTGAAAGAAATTGGAATTGGCCAGGAAACTGTAACATATTTAGATCCTGAAATCTGCAGCGTGGCCTCTTCAAAACAGGTTAAAATTTGCTCCATTTCCTTCAAACTTGCAATTTCTTCTGCAGCTAATGTTGGTAGAGCTTTTTTAACTTTCAATAAGGTTCTGCTGAGAGCATCATGGATCTTTATTATTCTACTTATCATATTTTATGTACTCTTCCATCGTGTACTGAATTCTTGGATAATCTTTACGGCACATCTATATTCTGTTCTCTCCTAAATATTTTATTATTATTATAGGAGTTTTTGACAGTAGGCGGAAAAACCGGTAGACTGTCATTAGTCCTTGTGCTGGGAAGGTTACTTGCCAGTACACTATTTTACGGCCTCTATCACTAAAATATTTATCAAGTCTATTCCTAAAGGCATTCACACTAGGAGAGGTTACATCCTCGCAGGGAGCTGATTCCACTGTTGCACTACTCGATTTGTGAAAAAATTCTTCCTGGAAAGTCTGTGACAAAGTTCAGTGGAGAGCTTCAGGGAGTGTCCACGCAGATGAGGGTTGATATTTCTGTGAAATAAATCAATGTCGCATGTGTAATGATTATGTAGAATTTTGTATGTTTCGATTAAGTATCCTCTATTTCTGTGTTCCTCTAGAGTTGTCAGATTAAGAGCTTTTAGTCGTTCTTCATAAGACAATTCTCTTAAAGATGGTGGAATTTTGGTTGCCCTCCTCTGGACACGCTCAATCAGATCTATGTCCTTTCTGGAATAGGGACACCAAACCACAACAGCATGCTCCAGCAGTGGTCTGATGTAGGTTTTGTAGGCTCGGAGGAACACTTCAGGGGACATTTCCCTGAAACAGCGTCGTATCAGATAGACTGTTGAGTTGGCTCGCTTCACGATTGCATTTATGTGCTGTTCCCATTTTAGGTCACGTGAGATATTTACTCCTAAGTCGGCCTGCTCAGTCACCCTTCCCAAGTTGTTATTGCCCATATGCTAGTCCAGCATAGGATTGTTGTATCCAATGTGCAACACACAACATTTGCTGACACTAAGTTTCAATAACCAGTCCTTCATCCACCTATCCAGCTCAGCAAAATCCTCAACCATGGCACCATGTTGGAATGTAGGGTCACAGAATATC